GTTGATAATTGGGCCGAGGTCACGGCACGAGGGGCCTTGCCGAGGCAGTGGTTCCAGAAGTACCACAGGGTGAGGCTCCAGTACTATCCGCGCTGGAAATACCCTCCTCACTAAGCCCCCCAAACCTTGGGAAGGGCGAGGTCGTTGCTTCCCGAGATAGTTACTTCCCGAGGCTGACAAGTGTGTAGGACACGGAATACAGCAAGTACACGTCATGACTGTGCGGATGGGACTGGGAAGGAGGTGAAATGATGGCTGTCAGCTTTATTGACAGATCCATGGATAGACGCGAAATAAAGGGTCAGATGAACAGCACTCTCATTAATGAGGAGAGAGGTCGTGCCCTCGAGAATTCCAAAGGTTCCGCCTTTTCATCTTCCCCCTGTTGGCCTATAATAGGAGTCCCTTTTTACCGTTTCACTCTTTACCGGAAATCAAAAATCACCTCAGAGCTCTGTTTCTCTGTCTTTTCACTTCGACAATCTCTTAAACTACATCTTCTGAGTAAGTTCACTTCTCCCTCTTTAGTAATGGCTAGAACAGCTCGTACCCACAAAGAAATCGTGAGGCCCGACTTCACCGAGGTAGAGAGGCCCGACCCTTCCGAGGAGAGAACCGCTTCTGAGGCCGAGGAAGGGGAGGCCGGAGCGTCCCACCAGACCGAGGTACTCCAAGAGCAGGAAGAGGAGATAGAGGTTGAAGCTGAGGTCCTTTATAACGACGACCTCGACAATGAGGTTCCCAGGGATGAGGGTGTGCAAGAGCCGACCACCCCTCCGGATATATCAGCACTCAACTACGGCCAGATGCCTACGTTCGACAGCGTCATGAATCAGACGCTGGTAGCCAAGGTGATTCGCCGGTATCCCTGAAGGAGAAATTACAGCCTCTATCCGCCTCGGTCACATCAATCAGCCGCACTACCGCCAAGGGGTAGGATGGCTATTTATGTGGATCAACTGGAGGCCGGGCTCAGGATGCCCACCACGAGATTCCTCCGGGACTGCCTGAGGTATTGGGGGGTGAGAATCACTCAACTCACCCTCAATGCCATTCGCGTTCTCATCGGCTTTCAACTGCTCTGCCGACATCAGGAAATAGAACCCACTGTCAACCTCTTCCGCCGATGTTACTCGCTCAAAAACAGCGGAAGTGAAAAGGGTTGGTTTTATTTCGGGAACAAGATCCCGAAGTTGGTGGTGGATGCCCTTACTTCGATAAAGGAGTGGAAGGGGAACTTCATCTTCGTTCCAGCTGAGGACTTCCCTAGAGGGTTCTGGTGGAGACCTCCCACCTCGGTCAAAGAAACCTCTCCGGGTAAACTGGAGGAGGACAACTTCAAGAAACTGACGGGGTCGGGCCTCAGAATCAACTGCTAGGATTTTCCCGAGGCAGTTCTTGCCGACGGCGGGCTCAGTCGAGCCCTGATCAGCTCGGATTACCCCGTCTTCTTCTCCTCTAAGCTACAGAAACCTTGTACTTTTTCATTCCCTACTTTGTTTGTTTTTCCTTGATTCTAACTAACTCTCCTTTCGTACTTCGCAGTGACGAGGGTTTCTGACTTGATAACAACCGGGACGGCAGCCGAGGTGGCCAAAAGACCAAAGAAACGCAAGGATACTGCCGAGCCCTCCACCAGGCCGGCCAAGAAGACTGCCGCGACACGTGGTGATTGTGGGGGAAGGCTCACGCACCTCGGCCACTCCAGGGGGATCCCAAGCCTCAGCCATTTCGGTGGGGGTTCCCGTTCGAGGAGTGACTATAGCTTCTCCACCCCGGGGCCAGGGTGTAACGCCTTTTCCAACTCGCCCCGTCACGGGGTCTTCATTGTTCAATTTCCACCACGTACCTTCTCAAGAGGTCGGGGAGGACAAGAGGCACTCCGGAGCACAGTGGTGCTCGGAGTGGAGCATCAATGTCAACGACCGTTACAAAAACCCTATGGTCGCACAGGAGCTCCTCGTGCATTCAGTGCTGCCGCGAGACAACACTTATGCCAGGAAGCTCACCCCTAGCGAGCTGATGCAGAGTGCCTTAGTTTCATGGGCATCCACCACGGCCTTTTTCGCCGAGATGATTCAGCATTATGGGAATTTAATGGAGACATACGAGCCACCAGACGCGCTTCAGAAGAAAATTGCCGAACTGGAAGAGAGATTAAGAGCAACCGAGCTGGAGCGAGATAAAGCCGAGGCGGCCAGAGACCGTGCCGAGGTGACAAAGAACTCTCTGATAACCGCCCTTGGTGAAGAAAAAGAGAGAAGAGTCCAGGAGGAGCAGTCATCCAAAAGAGCAATAGAGATGGCCGGGGTGTCAGCCTTGGAAGCCTTCCGCAAGTCGGAGTCTTTCAACCGCGACCTCAACGAGCTGACGCTGCCGAGTTTCATGTTTGGCTACACCACAGCAGTCAATGACGCGGCGCCCTTCCTCTCTTCTGAACAGCTGGAATCTCTTCAAGATGCGCCGAACTACAACGAGGATGCCAAAGAGCTGTGTGACCGCATGGCCGAAGGCATCAAAGCCGGAAGTAACCTAATCGAGGTCCGCGCCTAGTTCAACAAGTGGTTTCAAGAGTTCGACTTGGATGGCGATGGTCTCGAAGGGGACAAGACCGGCGGAGAGGCTGAAGGTCAGCAAGACGCCGGGGTAGGAGAAGAAACTATGGGTGGAGAAGGCTCCGGGGCAGGGAATGCTTAGAGACAATCCCTTTTGTACCTAAGGGCCGAGGTCGTGGATGCTTAGGAGCATTCCGGACCTCGGTCTTCTTTTTGTACTTCAATATAACTTTGTATTTTTGCCTCTTTAATTGAGCTCGATTTTCTTCTCTTTATTTCTTCTATTTGCTGCTGCTTGTCCCCTTATTTTTCACTTGATGAAATGAGAATAAGTGAGAAATAACTCAAACTTAAAATTTAAAGCACGCACCATTTAAGGGTAATACAATCTAAGGTTCTCAGCGTGCCACGGTCGAGGCACCCGAGAACCATCTCGATAAGTTAATTTACAATATCCGTTTTGGCTGGACTCGACAACCTGGTAGGGTCCCTCCCACTTGAGGCTAAGTTTTCCTTGAGATTCAGCTCGGCAGACCGAATTCTTCCGGAGTACTAGGTCTCCCGGACTGAACCGTAGGTTTTTGACCCGGGCATTGTAGTAGCCAGCTAAGATATTTTTATAAAGGGCAACTTTGGCCGCTGCCATATCACGCTTCTCTTCGACGAGGTCGAGGTCAACTTGCCGCTATTCTTCATTAACTTCGGCAGCATATGCGGCCATTCGTGGGTTCGGCGTGATGAACTCGGCTGGGACCACAGTTTCGGACCCATACGTTAAAGAGAACGGGGTCTCTTGTGTTGCCGATCTCGGGGTGGTCCTGTAAGACCACAACACACTAGGGAGTTCCTCCATCCAAGATGATCCGGCTCGGTGCAGCCTGGTTTTGAGGCCATGGAGGAGAGTGCGGTTGAAATTTTCAGCCTGCCCATTGGCCTGGAGGTATTCAACCGAGGTGAAATGCTGTTTAATCCCAAAGTTCTCGCACCACGCCTTGAATGGATTATCAGCGAACTGCCTGCCGTTATCCGAGATGACCATCCGGGGCAGGCCGAAGCGACAAACTACGTTCTTCCAGAAAAATTTTTGGACTGCTAACCCAGTGATGGTTCTCAGAGGCTCAGCCTCGACCCTTTTGGTGAAGTAGTCTACTGCCACCACTACGTGAACATAATTCCCTGAAGCCCTACGGAAAGAGCCAATTATGTCAGTACCCCATTGTTCAAACGGCCATGGTGAGGTGATAGGGATCATGAGGTTGGTCGGCTGGTGGTGCTCAGGGGCGTGGTGCTGACAAGAAGGACAACTAAGAACCATGATCTGGGCATCTACCCTCATGGTGGGCCAGAAATACCCAAGCAACAGAGCCTTTTTGACGAGCATCCTGTAGCTGACGTGAGCCCCGCAAAATCTCTCATGTATGTCCTGGAGGATCCGTTCACCCTCCTCTGGTGTGACACACCGTAACCACGGGTCGAGGTAGGATCTCTTGTACAAGAGATCTTGTCGAAGGGCATACCGAGCTGCTTTACGCTGAAGCTTTCTTGACTCAGCTCGATCATTAGGGAGCTCCCCCCGACTGAAAAATCGGATCAAGGGGCCCATCCAGGTGTCACCTAGGTAAACGGGGCACACGACTTCTTCTAAGTACCTCGGCTCGACTAAGACTTCCACGAGTACCGACTTGTTCAAGTCAGAGAACGAGGTGGAGGCGAGCCGAGAGAGAGCGTCAACTCGTTTGTTCTGCGACCGTGATATCTTTTGGATTTCGAAAGACTCGAAGTGTGCGATCAACTGGTGGACCTTGGAGAGGTAGCGATGCATGACCTCTTCTCTGGCCTCATATTCACCCAGTATCTGGCACACGACCAGTTGGGAGTCACTCTAAACCAAGATGTGCCCGGCGCCGAGTTTGCGGGTTAGTTGGAGTCCGGCAATGACTGCCTCGTATTCGGCTTCGTTGTTAGAAGCAACGAAGTCAAACCTTAAGGCATATGAGCACACCTCTCCCTGAGGGTCTTCGAGGAGCAAACCTGCTCCACTACCCTCACTGTTGGATGAGCCATCCACATGCAGAATCCATCGTTGAGGGTCAGTGGTGGTCGGGGTGGACTTATTCACCTCATTGAACGTGAGTTCGGCCAAAAAATCCGCCAGGGCTTGAGCTTTGATAGCCGTCCGAGGTTCGTAAGACAGGTCATACTCCCCCAACTCAATAGCCCATTTAGTAAGACATCCGGAAGCCTCCGGTCGTGATAAGACTTGCCTGAGGAGTTGGTCAGTTCTCAGACAAATGTGGTGAGCTAAGAAGTAGGATTTGAGCCTGCGGGCAGCGTGGATCAGGGCTAGCACAAGTTTCTCCGCTTGTGTGTACCTGGTCTCCGGACCTCGGAGGACTCGGCTGACGTAGTAAACTGGAACTTGTACACCTTCTTCCCTTACCAGTACTAGAACAACTTGTCCCCCGGACGAGGTGAGGTGAGCGTCGGGAGGCAGTGAATGTACTCCTTCAGCTGTTCAAACGCCCGTTGACATTCTTCAGTCCAGGAGAAGCTGTCTGCCTTCTTCAGAACTTTGAAAAAGGGCAACGCCTTAGAGGCCGACTGCGATAAGAACCGGTTCAGGGCTGCCAACCGCCCTGTAAGCCTCTGCACGTCGCGGATACACCGAGGTGGGGACATTTCTTGGATCGCTCTCACCTTATCCGGATTCGCTTCTATGCCTCGTCTGGAGACAAGGTAGCCCAGAAATTTTCCCGAAATGACCCCGAAGACACATTTCTTAGGGTTTAGCATCATTCGCATTTCCCGGAGGACTTCAAGGACTTCTCTCAGGTTAGAAAGAAAAGTAGAGGTTGTCTGGCTCTTGAGGAGAATGTCATCCACGTAGGCTTCGACATTTCGCCCGATCTGGGACTTGAAAGCTTGGTTAACCAAGCGTTGATATGTGGCCCCGGCATTCTTTAATCCAAAAGGTATGGTGGTGTAGCAGTAGGTGCCTTGGTCAGTATAGAAGGCCGTATTCTCCTGGTCATCCGGACTCATTCCGATCTGGTGATACCCTTTGAAAGCATCAAGGAAACAGAGGACTTCATAACCCATTGCCGAGTCCACCAAGGTGTCGACCTTGGGCAATGGGTAGCAGTCTTTGGGGCAGGCCTTATTGAGATCGGTGAAGTCGACGCACATCCTCCAAGCTCTTGCGTCCTTCTTGACCATGACCGGGTTGGATAACCAGGTCGGATACTGGATCTCCCGGATTATCTTTGCGGGCAGGAGCTTGTCCACTTCTTCACCAATAGCTCGGCTACGCTCAGGGCCGAGGTGCCTCCTTTTTTGTTTGACCGGCCGTGCCTGGGGGTCAACGTTAAGCTCGTGTAGCATGAGGTGATGCGGGACTCCTTGGACCTCATCTGCGGCCCAAGCAAAGACGTCCCGGTATTCTCTGAGAAGATCCACCATTCCTTTCTTAACTGAGTCAGGCAAACAGATGCCAACGCGGATCATTTGATCCGGATTCGTGGGGTCCATGGGGATCTCCTCCACCTCATCTCCGGTTTCCAGCCTCTGGAGCTTCACCGTTTGTTGAGGGTCGATGCAATCAATTGAGAGAATGTCCGACATCTTTTCGGACCTTCTATCAGAGGTAGATGGAAAGGCCGCTTGTAAAGTGACGAGGTAACACTCCCGGGCAGCGCAGACGTCGCTGCTCACCTCGGTGACCCCTGCGGAGGTGGGAAACTTAAAGCTCAGATGGAATGTTGAGTATACCGCTCGCAAAGCGTTGAGCGTGGGTCGTCCCAGGAGCATGTTGTACGGGGAGTCAGCCTTTACCACGACAAAATTGACAGGGATAGTTCGGCAACGGGGGTGACATCCCACGGTTACCGTCAGGGTCACCATCCCTTCGGGATGCACAACGTGTCCCCCGAACCCTACCAAGGGGGTTCTTACTGGGATCATGCGCTCCCTGGCCAATTTAAGGCTATCAAACGTGCGGAGGTACATGACGTCCACCGAGCTTCCTGGATCAATGTAGACTTTCTTCACAATGTAATTGTTGGTGAGCACTTCAGTCACCAAAGCCTCATGGCTACTCGAGGCAACTGGGACAGGATCACTAGATCTGTAAGAGAACACCTCGGATAGGCGAGAGCTAGACTCGGCCTGATCCGGGTTGGCTTGCCTATAGGTCCTCTTCCGGGAGTTTTGACTATCTCCTCCCGTCGGACCTCCGGCGATGGTATTGATGACCCCGACTATGTTGGGTCCATACCCTAATCCATGACCTGAAGATCCGTCTCGGGGAGGCCTTTTTGTCTCCCTAGGATCGTCTGGGGGCCTGCAACTGCTTCTAGACGTCCGCCTTTCGTCTCGGCGTTGATCACCCCGCCTGTCACATCGGGGTTCACTACGTTGGTGACCTCCACCTCGACGGATGAACTGCTTCAGGTGCCCCTGCCTGATAAGGTTTTCAATCTCCTTCTTAAGGTCGTTGCAGTCCTCGGTCTCGTGCCTGATGTCTCGGTGATACAGACAGTAGAGGTTAGAGTTCCTCTTGTCCCTGCTACCGAACATCTTCAGAGGTGCTTTCTCGAGGTTGTTCTGTTCCATCATGGACAACACCCGGGACCGAATAGTGTTCAAAGGGGTCAACTCGGACCCGGGGATGGATGCTTTCCCCTTGGAGATTCGGTCGAACATGCTGCGGCGGTCTCGGTTAGGGTTTTGGAAGCCACTCCCTACCCCCACTTCACTTCGGCCAGCCTCTTTTCCCCTTCGGGGATCGGTCCTTGAGCGGGTGGTCTGGACCTCTTTCTTCATGCAGTTGAGGTTTTCGGCCTGTATGCCCTTCTCGACCTTCAACCACAGTTCATGGAGTGTGCGGGGATACTTCTTGTGAATCCCCGTATTGAATACTCCGGCAACGAGCCCATAGGTAAAAGCAGCAATGGTGACCTGCTCATTAGGATTAGGTATCTGCACGCTTTCTTCGTGGAACCTCTGGACGTACGATCGAACTGATTCTCCCGGGTTCTGTTGCATGTTCAACAGATAAGCCGAGGTCCTGGTCGTAGGTCGGGAGGAGACAAAACGGTGAAGAAATTTCTCCACTAATTCCTCCAGGGTTGAAATGCTCCTAGGTTCTAAATCCCAGAACCATTTTCGAGCTGTCCCCTGGAGGAATACTGGGAAAGCCCGGCATATGACGGGGTCAGGGATGCAATACAGGCGGAAGGCCGAGATGAAGGCATGAATGTGGTCTTCAGGATCACCTCGGCCGTCGTAAGATGGTATCGAGGGGAGCTTGAAGTTGGGAGGAAGCCTCTCCTCATTTATGTCATCCGTGAAGGGTGGAGCCCTTTGGTAATCCACCCCAGCTCTCTCCATGGGTCGAGGTTCCTCAGGTCGTCGGCCCAAGAGCCCTCTTGACAATGACCTGGTCAGGGAGGCTACCTTAGAAATGGCCTTGGAGAATGCTCTCTTTGAAACACTTCGGCTCAAGCGCCTCCCGTCAGATTCTTCTTCAGACGAGCCTTCAGGAGATCCATCTGACTTCCTTTTAGAGGACTCGGCCTTCTGCTTGCCTTGTCTCTTAAGATACCTCCCTAACTCCTCAAAGATGTTAGAGTTCTCGGTCACAAACTCGGCCATACGGGTTATGGCTTCTTCGTTTGCGGGCTGAGTTCTCGGGGACTCCTGCCCTTCGGAAATATCTTCTTACTGAGCCGCATTACTCTGCTCAGCCCCAATAGTGAGAGCTTTCCTACTCCTAGAACGCGTAGGCTTCATTCTCCAATGTCTTCGCGTTCCCACAAACGGTGCCAATTGAAGAGGCGAATTCTGACCGGCGGGAGTGAACCGTGAGCTGACGGCACCACAGTTGAAAAGGTCACGGTGGTCTAGATCACCTGCTTAGATTACAAGAGGGGCTGGGTCCCCCGATATACTTCCGAAGCTTAAGTCAGTTCGGGATTAGAAAAATGGTGTAATAACAGAGAATCAGTGAAGTGTTTTACCAGGAATTGGTCATCCCCTTCTCAGTGGGAAATATTGGGTATTTATAAGAGACGAGGAAGAGAGAGAGAGAGAGACTGCTAGCGCAGGTCCCTAGAGATCTGATAGGGGCAGTGCATCAAGGTGATTTGATGGGCTCTGCGGAAAGGTGCGCCGGAACAGTTGTCAGCGTCAGGCGGCGCATGTGTCAGAACAGCTTTGTCAGAGGTGTCAGAGGTCATGTCCCACCTCTTCGGCGGTCAGGTCTTTAAACGTCACTTCGGCTTTATGACCGAAGGTCTTGGCCGAGTTGATAATTGGGCTGAGGTCACGGCACGAGGGGCCTTGCCGAGGCGGTGGTTCCAGAAGTACCACAGGGTGAGGCCCCAATACTATCCGAGCTGGAAATACCCTCCTCAGTATTCAATATTTAGCAATGATGAAAATGAGAAGTCATAGAGTGTAGTGTTGATATTAGAATTTTTGAGGTTCAATCTATTGACACTTGACACATCTATCATTATTGAATGAAACACCAGCACCTGGTTTTGGTTAGCCATTTTTCCATGATATAAAGAGGGAATTATTCTGGTTGACAAAACTAACTTTCCATTTTAAGAGGGCAGCAGTCATATTTTTTTTTCCGTAAGTGGGAGATCTTCAAAAACAGAATCTTCTACTTATAATTTTTTTTATTTTACCATCCAATCCAACCTTTCCGTCACTTTATTTATTTGAATAAACTAAGAAATGATATATTGAATTTTATTAACAATGACTAATATATAAGTGGATGCAATAAAGATGAGTAACATAGAAGTGGATGTAATAAGGATGATATGCAAGCACATCACTGTGCGTGAGTTTTTCCTTTCTGGCTTATAGAATATGCATTTTGTGTTGTTGGAATATCTTTTTGGGTTACGATAGTAGAACCATAGTGGAATTGACTGTGGTGGTCGTTACTCTAGTAGTAGAACAAAGAGCTTTCTATTGCTCTTCTTGTTTTTCTTTTTTGCTTACAGCCTGTGATACCATTAATAAACGTGGACTTGGCGACAATGGTGTGCTTTTATTTTTTTTTATTTGTTTTTGGCAACAGAAAGATTTTAAATCTAGAATCTCTTGCTTACAATTCTCCCCCTACCATCTATCTTAACCCTCCCCCAACAATAGTGCAACTCTGCTCCTTAAAAAACTGTTGTGGTCATAGTTTGGTGGGAGAGAAAGAAGCGAAAGAGTTTTTCTTTTCTTTTTTGTTTAAACTTTTAGTATAAAGGTTCATAATGGTATATTGGATATTCATCTAATATCTATTTGTTGACATAAGCAAACCGGATTTATAAGTGATCAAATACATGGAAATAAGGGGTGAAGGTGTAATTTTTTGAAATTAGAAATCTATTTGTCCTCGGAATTGGAACGAAAGTGAAATCGATAGAGTTTAATTCCGGCCTACAATTTGTCTTCCTTTCTCACCATTGTGTTTCTTTTCTAAACAAGTTTCATGAAGTTTCAGAATTCAAGTGTTGAGTACAACGACTTTGTGAAGTCAATCAAAAGTAGCACTCAAGAATTGCAAGCTCTGCCGTGCTTTGAGACATTTTGCTCTCTCTATGTTTGGCATTTACTTTGAAAGCTATTCCAATTTTGACAAAGTCAACTCTAACATAGAATCAAATCGATGTTATGACCGATTCACGATTCAATCGATCGAACCAACCGATTCGATCCAATTTTCAAAATATTGCGTTCATGTCTTCACAAGAAACGACCCAAGAATCCCTTCCAAAATTCCTGAGGCATTTATTAGACAGAATAGTCAAAATGGACCATTTCAGGTCCTCTAATGATCTGATTGATAGAAGACCACAGATTTGAGAAAATTCTAACACATTTATTCATGCAATTCCTGTAGCTGATGTGAAAACAAAAGGCATTAAAATAGTGTATTTTCTAAAGTTTCTTGTAATCCGGTCAGTCCCCTCCACGCGTTAAATTTGATTCACTGGAGTTGGCCGGGAGCTCGATCACCATTACCGTAGATTCTTGGAGGTGTTAGAGTGAATTCGGATGGGTTGGAGTTCGGCTTGTCAATTATTACTCTGTAATATAATAGCCATATTGACCAAATTTTCAAAGTCCTGCGTTAGTTTTGTTCCAAATGTGACAATGTGATAGTGCAACGTTCAATTATTGACTTTTGGAATTTGTTAAACGTTTCCAAAACGGGAAGAAAAGGAAAAGAAATTGCAGGCTTAGATTAAAGAAAATTAATTACTCTTTATTTTGGGGGGGGGGCGCTACCGGAAGGAGAAATGGATTGCCTTTACTTGTATTAAAAATGGCAAAATGGCAAACAACCCATCAGGCCAAGAGCATATAAGGGTTCAATAATTGGCAAAGTATTGATCTTTATGTGTCCGTTTAAAAAAAGAAGAATGGGGAAGAAAAAGAAACAAGAAAGAAAATTTAGATACCAGCTACTTCAATTTTCCTAGGCAAGTACACTAATCTCATTTCCAATCTGGCCAAGAGGGGTTCAATAGTTGGCAAAGTAATGACATTTGTACTAATTAAATGGTATTTTTTATGTAATTAATTGTTTTTCTTGTAAAGACTAAATATTGGAAAAGAAGAAGATGAGTGGAGACAAAGGCGAATTTAGAAGTGAGGTTCAAATAGTAATAAATGACAGAGATGTGTATGGAAGTAATATTTTTCCCGGCCTCAGTAATTATGTTAAAAAGTTTGAAAGGTATGTTTGTCTGTATGAAAGAGCATCCTAGAATCGAAAAGCCAAAAGTAGTCAAAGAGATGCTTCTGATTTTAAGCTTTTTTAGACAAAAAAAAAATCAAAAATTTTAAAATCAGATGATAGCACAAAAATAGTTTTTCGAAAATCAGAAGTTAAATCAAGTTTTCAAAATCAATTGAAAACGTACCCATTCCAAGTACTGGAGCAGGGACTCTAGGTGTGCAATGGGTTACTTGATTCACCCTGTTCCCGAAGAGTTTGCTTGATCCGATATACCCGAATGGAATGGTTATTTCTTTTCACAGATAATTATGAATTGTAGACAGGGCGAGTAGGGTCGTATCCACAGGGATTGTGTATATTTGTTTCTTAAGAAATCCAGAGTAACACAGGGGGGTGATTTTGTAGGGACAATGACAATCAAATAAATTCAAATAAGAAAATAAAACTAAATAACTAACTAGGTATTAAACCACGATTCACTGAACTTAGAATAACAATAATTAAAGGCCTAAACCAATTAAAACAAGAAAACAATTAAAAATAAAATAAAGTAGGCAACTAAAAGTCAAATGGCAATTCACTAAAATCAAGGTAATATTAATTAAAGATCTAGCCAAGAAATAACTTCAGCAATGGTTCACCTAATTGATCATCGAAGCAAGGGCAATTCCAATTATTCATCAATAAATAGGTTATAACTACCAAACAAGCGATGGCAGTCAACCCCTCCTTACTGTGCCGGTGATTAAGGTACACCCGTTAATTACTACTCTAATTAGGAAATAATCCTAGGTACGCCCGTAAGATTTAATTTTCCAATTGCCTTACGTATTAGAGGAGCCCTATTCTAACCAAATAACACACTACCAGGGTTACTTTAGGTTAGCCCGCGTGTTCCCCTGACACAAACCCAATCATGCCAGTTGTCACTAATTCAGGGCAATTAAACAATTACGGATTTAACGCCCCAATTGACAATAGATTATCCAATCAATTAATTATCCGGATCCAAGACAACCAATTAATTAAATAACCATAAGCATAGCAATCAAGGAATATGCGAATACCAATAAATAAAAGGAAAAGATTAGATTAAATCGATCTCACAATTTTTAGGCAACCCAAAGTATCCGTCGTTTCTTGACTAGAATGAGGAAATTAGTTCTATTTGATGAACTAAGTCCACGGGAAATTTCAGCAAAAGTCACTGCCATTGTCTGCATTTCAGGAAGCCACAATTCGTCGAACAATTAGAGAGCAAATGAAAGTCACAGGTAACAATTGAATCTCTTTATTGTTCCCAGCATCCGTAGAGCAACGCCACTCAAAAGGTACAAGGAGGAAAAGTCAAAGAGGATAGCCTCCAATCTCCTGACATGCGTGAGAACAAGCAAAAAGAATTCTAAAGGAAAAAGTTAATGAAATGCTAAGCTAGTACTCCTAGTTGTTTTTCTCACAACCGTGAGAATGCCCACAAAAGGCTAAGAAGAAAAGTCAAAAAGTGAGTCTATGCTACAGGACGAAAGACTAAGAATAAAATCAGCCATCCTTCCTCTGCTCTCTTTTTGGTTTTTATCCTCTGCCTCTCCCAGATGTGTGGCGGCTCCCAAGAGAAAGAAACCCTTCGTCCGTCATTCCTCAGCAGAAATTACCGAAATGGGCGTGACATCTTCTTTTCCAAAAATGCCCCTGGGGCAAGCTTTATCACTTGGGCTCCTTTTTTGCTAAATTGGTACTTATTATCATAATTTCGTTCTACTCCCTGAAATGAATGCAAAATACTAAAAAGTGAGTAGAATATAGCAATTAATCCACATCAGGTCAGATAATAAGAGAAATTAATAATAAAATAAATGATAAAATTTCAACCTATCATTGAGAATAAGCCCATCCTATT